CTGATATACATAATGTATATTTATTTATTTATTTAATTTAATTCATTTATTTATTATAGCCAGCGCCAAAACTCGCAATTAGAACATCTTTGTTTTTCTTAAACACAGAAGAATCTTGGCGTCGCCCAAACCTTTCACGGATCTAGCTGTGACACAACAACAGTGAAGAATCAGATACAATCAATAGATTATGCGTGTGAGTGACTGATTGATTTTTGTATGGACAGAAATTGGGGGCGTATTGCATGGCCCTCATAATTCCTATAAAGATACAAACAAACAACTAAGTAATAAGTAAGTAAACCAAACAATAAAGAAAACACAAAAGAAACACACGCAATAACGTACAAAAACATCTACGAAAGTAAGAAAGCGCAAGATTTAGACGGAAAAAATAATAACCAGCACCTCAGTCGTATAATGATTATTGACATACAAGAGACGAGAAAAGAGGGGGTGAAGAAGGTGACGAGGGGAGGGGGAGAGGGGAATGAATGATTACAGCAGAGGAAGGAAGAGAGGAAGGGAGTGAAAGAACGTGAAGAGAGAGAGAGAGGATTGAGACGCTGCGAGGGGAGACTCGAGTATTTACACAACCACAGAAAACGGAGTCAGCTAGGAGGGGCAGGTCGCGCGTTCGAGAGATGGAGATCCCGTGGATACGAAATCATGTGTTTACACGTCTCTCCAATGTCTTTAATTCCACGCAAATTGTTGCTAATGCATGATGACGTTGCACGAACCACCGGAGAATTGGAGGGCAAAGCAAACAGAGAATGATTCTCGAAAAGTCCGCCCTTGGGCATCATTAATCGAGGGGCTGACGTTCGCGAGGGATGAGATAACGGGAGATAAATGACTAGTCGCTCTGGATCTTAACGTAAAGGGGCTGTGGAGGATAGGTGGGAAGGAGGAGAGGGAGGGGAGGAGGGAAGGGGGGAGGGAATGGGGGGAGGAGGGAGGGAGAAGACACGCAGGGGGAAGGGGAGGGCACAGGAGGGGGCAGGGAGAAGACTGGAGAGACTTGGGAGACTTGGGAGGGAGGGAGGGAGAGGATAATGGAGGAGAAGGAGGAAGACACGGAGAAGGGGGAAGGCAAGAGAAGATAAGAGGGACGCTACAGGGTGGGAGAAAGAATGAGAACAAGGAAGGAGGGAAAACTCCGGAGGTGGGAGAGAGGCACAAGGAAGGGAGGAAGACGAGAGGGAGGATAGAGGGAAGGAGGAAGACACGGAAGGAGGGGAGGAAGAGAACACAGGAGAGAGAGAAGGAGAGGACACGAACCCGGAGGAGGGAGAGGGGAGGGGATGGGAGAGGAGTGGATGCAAGGAAGGGATAAAGGGCCGCAACTATCTTACATAATAGTTGTGTCCTACTCCCCCCTCCCCTCACCATACCCCACCCCCCCTTCTTTGACCTCCCTCCCTCCACTCGAGACAAAAAGGCGGAATTACGTCACATACTAATGTAGTTTAAGCTCCATAAACACAATTTAGTGTAAAAAATATTTGTTCTAATTTGACAGATACAATAACTGTCATTTAACTTATAGTGTGAAAGGAGATAATGCATGAATATACACTATATATGTATGCGTAGTGGCACAGATATTTCGATATATTGCATACGAGACAATCTTTTGTAAACATATTTTTATATAGCAGACAATCTTATTGCAGACATATATTCTATAAATGTATTCATAATTACTTCATCAAGATATTTGTAGATCCATTCACAAAATTAATTGATAACGAAATGATAAGTTACAGATGTAGAATTTGATATCTAGATATTTGTATGAGAGAGAGAGAGATAGACAGACAGACATACAGACAAACAGACAGCCATTA